GAAACAAGCTTATGTACAAAAGGTTGTCAGTTCAAGTCCCAAGACAATATGGGAAAATACAGTCAGCATGAGACAGTAAAGAGGGATTACTCATCCCTTAACATTTGATACTGAGACTCATTTCAGCAAGAACCCTTTCTATGTTGAACTCCCCCCTCGAGTCACTTGTTTTATACATGAATGTGTTATTTCTGTTTGGTTTATTATGAGCTAAATTAAGTTGAAGGGGGTGATTGTTGACCCATTTTCTGTGACTTTGGGCAGTGGTGTTTAGCTTCCTCCCTGACCTGTAGATGACAAATCCCAAAATAAAAATAACAGCTGCAGGCATTTGAGCATGTGTGGTCAAAGTCTGTGCTGCAAAACATACTGTAGCACACATGCTTCTCTCTTCTTATATCTTAACATCTTGAGGGATTTTTAAAACCTTTGATGCCTTAAAACATTCATATATTTAAAGAAATACGGAAACAACAGCTGTCAAGTTGTTTTTCTGATGCTAGCCTGAATAATTCTTCCATATTGCCCTCAAACATTTTCAGAAAAATACAACTTTTAGCAAATTAAAATGGAAGCCCCCCCCCCCACATAAAGTTTGACCACATATTTTTAATTTGTTATATACTGAAAACAAGCAATAGGCTATCTGATTAATAGTTTGAACAGAATTACCAACAGGAATAAAGAAGCAAATCTAAGGATAGGGGCTGCTTTCCACCTGTTCAAAAGCAATCGGAGGAATAAGGTGAAAAATGAACAGCAGTCTTTCCGGAAGGTGTGATCAAACCACATTATTGATAAATAATAATGCCACCGTATTTTTCAGTAAAAAAAAGACTGTCAAGTCGACCTTGACACCAACAGCACACCTCGCTTTCTGCACGCGTCTCATCCAGCCACGTCAATCAAAAAAAGATAACATGACGATGTAGCCGTTGAATTATTTTTCCCTCAACATGCAGAGAAACACATATACACATTGTCTTCAGTGCTGAGCCCCCCAGCCATCCTCTGCAGTGAGAGGACGTGTTGCAACCTGCCATGGCAACCGCGGTTTCATCACCAAGGACAGCTCCCCTCATTCGCTTTCTTGGTTAAAACAAAAATCACATTCCCAGTTTCCAAAACCACCATGACATGACAGGAAAAACACACACACAAAGCCGTACTTACACTGCTCCGCCTTCGTAGACATTTCGCAGACACTTGGGGGAACATAGAACCAAGACTGTCAATTGTTTTAGTGTTTTTTTTTTCCTCCCCGGCGCTGTGTTTTCCTCAGTCGTGAAAAAGTGAATATACCCCCCTTGCAGCCCAGGCTCGTCTGATTGTACCACTCTGCGGAATGGATTTATACACTGTGGGTTTTCAGCGGTGGTGCGGTCGCTTTTAGCAGAATTAAATCAAAGAGTCAATTTTGTGAGACCGTTTTTAATTTTAGGAATATTATTCTTTCGTAACGGAGAGGAATGTTGATGTACATCTGCCACAGCATACCTTTCCAAATGGACTGATCCGCCTTTGACAAATTGTCATTCAAGATTTCCAGCAACCCTATCAGTGCTATTTGAACTGATTATAGGAGGGGAATACCGAGGAAAAACCTATTTGGCCTGCGCATTTGTATTGTATTTGTCCTGCATATAAACATGCAACAGATGGTTGTCACATTGTTATGATCATAAGTATAACGTGATATTTTTAATCTCCACATGTTTTTTGGTTTGAATGTTTTTTGGGGATATTTAGATATTTAGTTTGTAATTGACATCATTTCCTGATTTTGGTAACAAGCAGTGCAAACAACTATGTAGGTTCATTTTTAATCCCCAATTAACACATGAAGGCTTAAAAAATAAATGATCATTACGTTTTATTATCTACAAATGTACTTATACTGGCCCACCATTCGGCATGCCTGTGATAAAAATATGCATTTTTTTAAAGGAGCAAAATATAACTGAAAGATGGACTTGAAATGACTGACACTTCCCTATAGTTTGTGCCAAGAACTGTCTGTGTAATTCCATCCCACATCCAGCTGATTAAGAGCAACATCCTGTCACTGCACCCTGGAATGACCCCTACTTCTTATTGCTTGAGAAGTTTATGCTATGAAGCACATATTAAGCTTTTCCAAACACTGCAGTAATCACAGCAGTCAACTAATTGGCTTTCAGATTGTATGTCTTAGAAAAAAAAACAATCAATGGCAGATATCACATCAAAGTCTTTATACAGGGAAACTGTCTCATTATAACGTTTTACATTCCTTAATAGCCTTTTACACATTGGAAAATCCACAAACAATAATAGTGCACAGGTGTCTTCCTGAATGCAGAGCTCTTGCAGAAGTCAGGGTTGTTGAGATGATCTCTGCTTGTATTCTGGGATATGATGCATGATCCATCCAGCGGGGGCCAAGAGAGTCACAGCAAACGCACAGAGAGCAAGTAAAGATTGCTGTAAGAAAGTCCATGAGAAAATAAAAATAAATGCATGAGGAAGGAGTTTTAGTACACATATCAAGGCACTGTAGTATAGCTCCCAAACGTCATCATCTACAGGTTGTGGGGATCGAACACCTGTGTCCACAAAAGAAGGTCCCAAACTTAGTGACTCACCAGGTGATTTAACAGCAGACCGCATTTATATCATCCTTCCATGTTATTCCCTTTGTCCCTCTGCACTCTGGTATTCCTAACCATGAGCCAAGCTTTGTAAAAGCCCAAGTGTATGTCCCAGAGGACAGATCAACAGATTTATAGTGGCATAAACATTGGCCGCTATGTTGCAGTTCCATCATAGGATCCCTTTACAGAGGCCAGAGTTTCATACTGACTTATGGATAAGAAATGAATAAAACATCCCTCCCACTCTGCAGACTTGGGAATATTGCTACAGTCCCTGCAGTACATTTTCAGACAGTCAAACAATCTGGTTTGCCTTTCAATTAAACTCCTATCATACGTCTAACAAAAAAAATCAGTCCTACCCCTGGCCCGATCTTGTCCTTCGGCGGTTTGCTGTAGATTGACCTCTGATTTTGCAGAATGGCTTTGATCCGCCTGGGCCAGGTCAGTATTGGTCTCCTAAGAAGGGAAAACATCTTAACGCTCACAGAGTCACTTGCCACGACTGGAAAACAGTAGTTTTTCTGTGGAAATGTTTTCTCATGTCCTGTGAGATACTAACTGCTTTCATCTAATTCCCATCCCTGTTCCTGGGAGGAGTTACTTCCATGGTCCAAAGACCTTCATGTAAACATATAGGCTACTGACCAACCTCTGATCAGGATAAGAAATCTGGCCTCGCCTATGAGAGAAAAAGGATAGTAGGGATCAACATTATAATCAATTTTTGACTATAAAGAATTGGAGTAGTTGAGTAAGTCAACATCATTCACTGATCCAACATTAATTCAAAATCTTCAATTTATATGTTGTTTCCAGTAGAGTGGGTCTTTTTTTAACAAGTAAACTACAATCTGCCAAGATTTAGAGTTTGAATAAGTAGTATCTTGTTAAATAACTATTTTTACATCAAGTATAAAATAGAAATGCCAAAACTCTAACATTACATGATGGGAAATTATAAAGTAGATAAGCACATTAATTTATCTGAAGTAAATTATGCCATATAGGCCTACTCACAATTAAATATATGAAATACAGTGTTAGCATTAAACCTGATCCCTATGGTAAAACATAACAAATGCAAGAAGCTTAAAAAGTACATTATTAAGTGCATTATCTACAATAACACACCACAATGTAAACATAGGGTCACTCAATTGTCTTAATAAACAACATTGCCTTGACTTGCCAGCTTACAATAGGGCTACCATTTGATTAAAGTGCTTAGGATCCTTAATTATTAATGTGAGAGCTTGCAGGCCAATATTCACGGCCTGTCTTTGGTTTTTCAGGAGTCCCATTCAGTTCAGTTTTTCCAGATTTCTTATTCAGTGTCACTTCACTTTTATGTTATTATGTCAAATTTGACGGGGCGTTTGAATGCAAAACTGCAAAAAAGACCATGGTGGCCATAGGCTTAAAATAATTAAAAAGGAAAGCTGGCCTTGGTTATACACTGGGTGCCAAACACGTTTTGGACAACATTACATGTAATGTGTCGCCCTCAACAGGACGCTCAACGAACTTTAATCAAATGACAATACGATATTATACCATTTCATTTCAACCAGTAATGGGTCGATCAGATGTTTTTTTTAAGCGTAAAGTGACAGATTTCCATGGCCAAATTCATGTTGAAGCCACCATGACATAGCTAAAAGTTAACAATATGTTTAATTTATATTAATGATATTTTAAGTAGGCTTCCACTGGTTATGTTGCCCCCTACCTAAAGACCCACATCCTCATCTACGGGGAAACGTAAGGGAAGATGTATACCGTTTTAACGGAATTGCATTGCTAGGCAACAGCTTGGGTATTTTCTCTGAGATGTATGTGATGTTATTCACATATAACAACAGCAAATAAACTGGGACACATTAGGAATGTTAATGTGAAATGTAACTGTAAAAAGATTTAAAAGACATCTTGATAATGATACGAAGCTCCAATAATCCTCATTGCCGCAGATACACCACTAGGGGGCACTCGCAATTGTGTTATTGCACAAAGAGCTCGGAGTACTGACGGGCCTCTTGACCAGTCTCCGTACAGCGATTGAGAACCTGTCAAGCTGAAGAAGATACAGGAAAGAAAGGTATTTGGCCTCCAAATATAAAGCAAATAAAGGCGCAGGGCAGGCTTGCCTAGACTACAAGACTGGCATTGTAATAATCTTAACAAAAAGATAACTGGTAAAATTGCATTAGTTAAAGGGTTTAACTAAACACGCGATATAAATGGCTGTTATCAGATACAGTTGTTGTTGTACAGTGTATGTACACATTCAAAATGGTTACATTCCATGTTTTATTTTGAAAGTCTGACCGGAAGCACCGTTTCCTAATCTGGCTATCTTGAAATGGTTAGCGCTGGGATAGGCCATCACAACCACCCAACAAGGCGTTGTGCTACTATGGGGAAATACCGAACCGAACCGAAAATAAAAATGGCTTTGGTGTAGTTTTTAGTCTAGGTAATTGCTGGAAATTCGCAAGAAAGTCGATGCAAGTGGAAATGGTCGCATATTAGGGATCAAGTGTGGACGTTGACGTCGAGCCGTGCGTAATGAGCAGAGTTGGAAAAAGAAGGTGTTGAGCTGCATTTTTTCTCTCTCTGCCAGGGACAACTTGGGTCGGAGTACTGTCTGAACTACGAGGTGATACGAAGGTAAAAAAATGCCCACGAAGCTCTCCACTTTCTGGTAAAAAATGTTTCTAAACAGTTGCATTGCATCCTGCTCGAAGTACATTTCTGTTTCCGATGGAGAACGTTAACGGTAAAGTCAAAGCGACACAGAGCAGAGATAGCTAACCCTAGCCTCCTAGGATATGCTACTAATTACAGGGCTGGGGTGAATATGACTCCTCTCGCCAGGCTGTCGCCAAATATTTGGACATTACTTCCCTTTTTTATCAGCTGAGGCAAACAACCCACTTGGTTTTTCCTCGTACAAGCACTTTTAACTAGGGCTTCCGCTGGGCACCGATAGCCCCCCGATAGCCCCCCGATAGCCAAAGAGCAACAATAGCTCCGCGTAAACGTATGGCTAACAAAGCCATCGCAAATGATTGTTTTCTGTATGCACTGCTTACAGAGGGGAACACTTCCTCCGTTTTGTGAGGCTTGGTAAATGGAAAAGTTCGGGATGAATGTACATTTTAACTCTGCAGATACACCTACATGTTGCTGTTTATTGCCTCGGTGTCAGATAGTTGTTGATAGGTTGTGCTATGGCAACAATGTGGCCTGCCATTAATTGCAATCTATAGCATACTTGTGGAAAATGTTTTATTGATATCAGAGTCATATAATAATTTCCAGTAGTCAAATATCCAGTTTATACTTGAAGGTCAGGTTGTAGGTATTCTGTTTTGTTCATAGTTTATTATTTGCCTGACCCAACAACATATTCCAATCCTACTGTTTTTTCTTTAACAGGGTGTATAATATATGTAAGTTCCACCATCTATTTAAGTGCTGAAGAGCCATATGCACACTGTGGTAATCCTGTGGTAATCTCACTGAAATTCGTGCTAGACTCAGCATTCTGTACACCCTGCCTCCCTCTGAAAGACAACCTGTGTGTATCACTCTGTCTTTTCATTTGGAAAAGGTGCATTCACTGCGCTCTGCAGCATATAGGGTTGTCATTTTACCAGGTTAAGTATTTGTGTCAGTGCTCCAGGGCAATATAATGACATGTAATTATTGCACGTACATGCTCAGAAGTCAATGACAAGCATGAAAGGCTGCGAACTTGCAAGTACTTGCCACAGAGTGACTGAATGAGCTGGACTTTGGCCTGAGTGCTGTTTACCCTGGCCAGTTGGATGGAGAACTCAACAACTCACTTAAAATGAGCACTCATTGTTACCCAGGCTGCCATTCATTCTTTTGAGGTTGACCGCCAGGCTGTGTTTATATAGTCATTAGTGTGTGCTAACTTAACATTTCTTTATTAAAAAGATGGCCCTGTGTGTTTGTTTGACCTCAGAATGTCATTCATCCGTTCAGTTGTTGTCACTTTAGGTGATAACCCAAAGGTCTTAAAGAAAATACGTTGTTAAGGCTGATACAATTTCATGTGTGAAGCCCTCATTTTATGTTCTTACAATGGCCTGCAGAGCAAAAAATATACTATTAGCTGACAACATAGTCTGTGAAATGGTAAATATTCATCACTAGGGTTCATATTGTTGGTTGACTGGCTAATCCCGAGGCTGCCCACCATGAGTCATCACTGTGGAGACTTTTGTTTCCTCTGTCTGTCGGTCATTTCAGTGTGTTGCTGTTTTCTAGTCTGTTCTGACTCCTGTAGTTTCCTGTAGCTCTCCTGGTAGAGAGTCTGTAATCAGTTGAATGGCCTGATTAACTGTAATTCTGATTGAAAAAAAAAACTGCAAGTTAAACGGTCTGCTCTGCTGCTGAATTGTGTCATTTCAGAAAAAATATCACATCATTATTTCATTTAGAGAGAGTCATTTATTCTGTTTTATTTTGTTATCCACATGCAGTTCATATTCCCTAACACATGTTGTTGCGAGATGTATACGGACACATCAGTACGGTGGAGGTCACTCTGGCAGAAGGTTCTGGTTCCAGCTCACTGCTGCATTGCCTAAAATGTCCCCTTCTGATTGTATCAAATATCCAAACAGTCTAAAAGGAATATCTGACGCTCTATTTTCTAACCGTACAGGTCATTTAAAAGCTTTACTGTCAGCAAAACCTTCCTTTTTCTGATATACCTCTAAACATATCATCTGAAATGCTAACAATGGATTAGTTGACATATTGCCTGCATTTCTTCTGTATAGTTGTATGCTGGGCCACAAAATAAATTATCTACCCTTCTCCTAGGATCAGTGTGATGGCTGGGACTTCATGAAATAATAAAAATCCCCTTTTAATGAAATTATATCAAACTGTGTATTTAAGAGCTCTGACACATTTATTGCACTTTACAGCTACTGTGTAATTTTAAAATAGTGCTTTGAGGGGATGTATTTCTACAGTTGCTGCTCTTTCAGGCAGGCCTGAATGTGATATTGGCACAGTGATTGCTCCTCTTTGGAAGATTAGTGGCTGTGTCATTGAGCCTAACAAAGATTACTGTCAAAAGGTGGTGATTACATCATTTCATTCATAGAATTCACAGTGGGACCAATGGAGAGCACATCACCTAGGTGTCTTTGTGCCATTTGAGCAAATCAATGGGACAACTACTCTACAATAATCAGAAAGACAAGAAATATAAAATTCTCAATCATCTGCTACACTGCCCAAGTAATTTTCCACATTACTTTTGATTGCTGAAGACTTGTCATGCTGCCCTAGCTTCATTACAGCTGTCACTTTGATTCAAAAATATTGGCTGTGTGTGTTTCATTAGCAGAGCTCTGGATAAGGGGATGGCCGGTAAAAACCTGCTTTGAAATAATAAGAACATGCTCCTGAATTTTTGGGGTTTCAGACAGGAAATGAGAACCAGATACCTACTGCTTCCCCCTTCTCTTGCCATGATGAGGAAATCCACATAAATGATTGATAAAGTGCCCTGACTGTCATTTGAATAATACATCAGACCTGTTCTTGTGCCAAGCAGTTTTGTATAGTAATGTTCTGTGGGAGTCTGGGATTCTGTCTTTTAAACCTGTGCAAGTGGCTAATTTAAATAAAAGAAAATGATCCGAGTGTCTGAGGCGAGGTGAGCCCTTCTGAAAGGTTGCATATGTCTTTGTGTATGTAGAGAGAGATAGGTGGGGGCAGGGAGTGTCTGCTGTCACCTCTCATTAGGGACATATAGTCCAGCTCGGCCGGTGTCTGCCCCCAACCCCACGTCTGTGGAACTGCCCTCCTCTGCCCCCCCCCCCGCCCGAGCCCAACAGAGCAGCACACTGTTTCAGTCTAAACTACAGGAAAGTGTCGAAATCACAGAGATTATGTCAGAGATGCTTCATGTTGAACAGTGCACGTCTGAAGGAAATGGCTGTCTTAAATTACGCTTTTAGAATTCTGCACTGCAGCTAAAGTTACATTTGGTTCACTCATTTGAATGAGTTAAAACCGGGAGTCAGTGTATTGTTCGATTGATGTGCTGGTTGCTTTGTTTTATTCCGCCTCTGCTGTGCTCCTTTGAGGAACCCACCCCTCTACCCCCTTTCTAAACAAGGCGGTATATATCTCAAGGGCTTCTTCCTCTCCTACATATTCAAATTAAATTTCTAATTGTGTCCAAATGAATTCCCTGTGAAGATGGAGCTTATTTAAAGCAGTCTAATGAAATAAAGATCAACCAACATTTTTATTGGAGTGCTCCAGTGTGACTGCCTGGTGACTGTTTGTGATTGTGGAGTAAGAGGCTGTGGTTTTCCATTGAACCCTTGGGAGGCTGGGCTGTGCTGTTCTACCGGGGCAGACACAATGATTTATTGGTATGGTAGGCAGGAAAAACTAGCAGGCTGAGATAAAACAGATTTCCCATCACACTCAAGTTCTCCGTCTGGCCTGGCATGAAAAACAGATGAAATGTGAACATATATATCACTGTTTTTATATGTAGTTATGTAGAGGTCAGAGCTAAGAGAATTACATTTCCAAGTCTCTTGATCATGGGCACATATGGGCATATTTATTCAAAGTTACCCGAGATGTAAGTGGCGTTGAACAATTGAGAAACTGTCCCTCTGGTTTGGAAAACAATCAAAAATAGTTTTGATCTCCAATGGGCTTGCTCTTATAAATAAACCTAGACTCAGTTTGTAATTAATAGCCTGATGGTGTGCTTAGCTAATGAGGTGCCCTGTTTTCTGTTAGACCGGAGCCAGGGCCAGTACATAGAAGAGAGCAGAAAGGTTATTGCAAGCGCCTTTCATTTGACTGGTGCTGAGATGTGTAGCTATTTGCTGCAGTTGACCTCTCTCGCTCACATTTTCTGTCTTAAAGTAATGTTTATTTGACCAAACCATATCAATGAGAAAACACTAATAAAATATGTTGTCCTATAGAAGTAGTTACTAAACTGAAGCTGTAGCTAAATGGAATTCAGCCATCATTCATTTGAATAATTTACATCTGTGCTTTCCTACAGTAAATTGTAGAAAATGTCATCTTTGAAGAAAGCTTGGAGGAAAATTGTTAATAGGCCAAAAAAAGCAGACGGCAATGTCTTTTTGTTTGGCTAAATGCAATTAATTAAATCCCTACAAGTCAAAGTATTTCATCCCATTGATGCCAAAAACATATTAAATATTCAATAGGCAACATGCACACAATGGCCTAATGCAACTATAAGTTTTAATGGCAAAGCTACCACTGCTGCATGGCAACATCTCTGACATATTTGTATCATCTTATAATATATATTGTCATATTGACCTTCTCTTTCTCACATAATGTGCTACATTTATTTTTACATTGAAAAGAGTTTCACTGAGTTTTCAGACTGTACTGACGTGATCAGACTACAGATCCATAGCTTGAAAGTTAGCTTAGAGATATTTCAATAGTAATTAAATGAGAATGTAAAACTAAGCTGCCTGGCTCAAATTGATATGGCCCTGGTCAATGAATTTTCCTAAATGTTCTGTATAATTATACTCTGAATGCACATAGACCTGGAAAACCCTCCACATTTCTAATTGGAATGTTAAATAAGAGTGTGATAGGGAGTATATGCAGAGTGTGTTGTACCTTCCTTTTGAAGATTCACTGTACATCTGCATTAGATTTGTTGTTGACTGCCACTGCCTCCTGAGTTTCCTGAGGGCTGAGCAGAGGAAGTCTCTGTTAACACAAGTCACCATTGAAGATTAAAGATACAACAAAGCCTGAACACAAAGTCCTCAAGACTGTCACTCTAAAAAAAGCCTCCTCATCATATTTATTTTGCATTTCAGGCCTTTCAAAATTGCCATGGCAGAATTGATTCATGATAGCGCTTTAATCAATGTGGCTGAAACAGTGTGATAGATTGTAATAGATGTCCTTTTGTTCCGCTCTCTTAACATTGACGCCCCTGGCTATTCATTATCTTTTGACAGAGTCCAAACAGTCCAAACGCATCATGTTGCAATCCCTGGGAGATGTTAGTCAGCAACATTTTAAACTCTTTGACTTCATCATCTCTCTTACTGTTCTCTCTGTGCTCTTTCATGTTTCTTCCTCCAGGTATGGCAGGCTGGGCCCGGGGCTCTGAGGCCACTTCAGAGGATCCGTGCCTGACCCACGACTGAGGATTGAGAGGAATATGTTGTCTGAGCAGAATGACTCAGCAAGAGGGGGGACCCCAAATAGCAAGTGAAGAGAAGTGAGGATGGGTGCCAATGGTTCCAGCTATCCACACTCATGCTCCCCACGCATAGGGGGAAATGCACAGGCACAGCAGACTTTTATAGGTTGGTATTTTATCTATCTTATTGAATTAAGAGCGTTATGATGGGTTGCACCGTTAACAAAGACCACTCTGATAGATGATTCTGTGTTTTCAGCCAACAAATGATAAAATATCTCTGTTAAGGTGCCGTTTACACGAGGACAAAACGGGTTGTATCTGCTACTTTTCTCTCACGTATAGCCCGTTCGTTCACACGAGGCCAACGCGTAAACGGACCCCGCAAACTATAACGGGTCCCAAGGGGGATAGATCTGCAAACGGAACGCTCTGAAGGGGCAAACGGCTCCGTGTCTACGCCCTATACGATCATTTTCTGATAACGATGAAATAGCCCTGCCTCCCTCTCCCCACGTCTCCCTCTCCCCACGTCTCCTGCTCAGAGATCAGCTGCTGGGCTGTCAGAAGAGGGGGAGGAAAAGAGAGGCTCTGTTTATTATTCTTATATTATTATATAGAGTCGTTATCAATTTGTTTATCAAGATACATGTAATGTTTTAAAGCTCAATAAATAACAAAGAAGACCTCTGACCGGCACTTTTCTAATTTTGTCCGGAGGATTTAAACTTTAACGGACATGTTGACCGGCGAAAAAAAATGTTAACGGAAACTCTGCCGCATGGTTCCCTCGTCCCTTGGAAGAGGCGGAGAGGTGGGTGTTTTTCATCTGCTTGTGGACTACCGGAGAGATTTACAGCAGCAGCACACGCCGTCCACCGCGGAGAATAAACAGAAGGGCAACCATGGCAACCATGCTCCGGGGTCTTCTTCGCTGCTTTTGGTGTATTTTGTGGCGGCAGCAACGCCACTTACAGGCCCGGCATATGTACTACAGCGTTTCCAGCGGGTCGAGCGGTCTCGTGTGAACGGACACGTTAATTGAGCCGAATGCGTGTGAACGGAAGACTTTTTTGAAAACAAATTCGGTGCGCAAACGTACCCGTTTCGTCCTCGTGTAAATGGGGCCTAAATGTACTCTTTTGAAGTAGGGTGTGAACATGTACTCCTCAACCCTCTTGGCACTTCGCACCCATGCTAGAAAACACACAGTGTGAGTTAGCATGGCCAAACTCACACTTTAATTTACATTAACCTGCTTCCATGACAACTAATGGGGCAAGGGGTGAATATAAAGCTGCAGCCACACGAGGACGATAACGGTCGTATCCACTACAGTTCTCTATCGGATAGACGGTTCGGCCACACGAGGCCGACAGGGAAACGCAGATAACGATAACGGGTCCCAAGGTGGGTAGATCTGCGGACGAAACGCTCTGGGGGGCCAAACGGCTCCTTGTCTACGCCCTATAACGATCATTTCCTGATAACGATGACGCAATAGCCCCAGTGTTTCGAGCCAGGTCCCGGTATCTCGCAGGACAGTGCACCCAGCAGGAGCTTCCAGCTAGATTTGATCGATATGGACATAAACGCGAGTGAAGTCTAATCGGACAGGAGAGGAGACACGCAGCTCTGCATGATAACCTGCAGCTCCGCCCGCTGTGATGGAGCGATGAGCGGAACAAAACACACACTTCAAGTTAGATCATCACCCTTAGCTATTTTAATTACCTCTCAAACTACCTAAACTAGTTTACCTAAATATGTTTATTTTTACTGTCGGGTCACTCATTACTGGATCAGCCAGCTGCATGAGACCACGGATACTGACGGGCTGTCAGGAGAGGGGGAGGAAAAGAGAGGCTCCGTCATCCGTGTATTATTCTTATATTATTATATAGAGTCGTTATTCATTTGTTTTAAAGCTCAATAAATAACAAAGAAGACCTTTTGACCGGCACTTTTCTAATTTTGTCCCGAAGATTTCAACTTTAACGGACATGTTGACCGGCGAAACCCCACCTCTGCTGCTAAATCCAGCACGGAGAATAAACAGAAGGGCAACCATGGCAACCATGCATGCGCGAGAAGTCTTCTTCGCTGCTTTTGGTGTATTGTGTGGCAGAAGTACAGCGCCACTTACAGGCCCGGCATATGCGGTTCGAGCTGTCTGGTGTGGACGGACACGTTTCTGGTGCCTATTGCGTGTGGACGGAAGACTTTTTTGATAACGATTTCGGTTCGTTTCCGTTATCGTCCTCGTGTGGCTGCAGCCTAATTGTGCATGAGAGCTCTTAAAGCAAGCCATTGCCTCACACAACTGATGCATTAGAAAGAAACGTGTCTACTTTGCCCTGCCATATGGATTTTATGAAGTATTATGAGAGGCAGATATCCAGAGAAATGTGTGTCCAAAGTGGGTGGTTAACCAAAATCACATTTAAGTATGCTGCTGTCAGAGTTTAAAATAACTTCCACCCAAAAAAGACCAGCATTGCAGTATTGCTCTTCTTAGTTTTGTTGTTAGTGTGGGGGTTGATGTGATTCTGATAAGGCTGCTGGCTATCAGAGCTGATAGGAGCAAATCTGGTATCATGACGTTTGGTCCCTGTGGCCAGCTGTTGACTGTTAGATTGTAACATTTTTCTACTGAATGACATGACGGCTACAGTCTGAGACCTTTACATTTTGTTTCAATATCAGCAGTGTTGATGTCATTCCCAGAGAACATTGCTGTACTACAACAGCTAGTCTGTCTTTTTGTCTGCCTGCATGTGCTAAAAAGGGTCACATTCAGGTTGTTCATTATGTGTGTTTGTTACTTGTTTGCACTCGAGTGTATGAGGTCACTCTGTACTTCTTATATTTTAAGTAGTGCTCTTGATTGGTTGTTATAAATCACTGTTCATCATGGGCATGTTAGGAGACTAACTCCTAAATTATCAACCTTTGGAGTCTTTTTCGTTTATGGTCCTTAAATCTTTCCCTGCTGCCCTCTGTGCCAGACGGTTTGGGGAACTGCTTCAGAGATTAATTTAAATAAATCTGTCGTGAACAAAAAATCGTTATTTATTTCACTTTCTAAATTACTTTGGCTCCGAGGTGTATGTAGAAAGTTTCTCTGAAGTGAAAGTAAAGCCAAATTATCTCTGAGACCCATGTGGTTTACTCTAAACTGTTATTTGCTGGGGTGAGCTGACCTGTGCCACAGATGATTCACACTGTTAGAATGATTACTATTTGGGTCACACTGATGGATGCTGAGAGAAGGGCAGGAAGAGAGAGGATCTCCTTGGCAGAGTTTCCTCTGAAGTACGAGTTCTGTCTCGCATGCCAAAGACGACTGCCGTTTAGTGTAATTGATTGGGCTGAAGTATGCGAATGGACGGAAGTTCATCGAGGAGTACAAAGCAGGACAAAGTCTTCTATGAGCCAATTGGTTCCTAGGCTGTGAATAACCATAGTTTGGTCTCTACATAACAAAATAAAGGGGTTATGTCTGTTTTTTCTGCTGTTGAACTAGATCCAGATGCTTTGGAAGCTGGGTCAGGGTGGTGTGTGTTTGGCCTGACGGAGCTGGCCACACCACAGGGGGGCTACAGACAGATTGTGTTTCTAACAGTTTGCACTCCAGAGTGAAAGGGTGTTAGGGTTATGAAATGTCTCACTAGAAAACTATTTAAAGGAGTTGTCTAGGAAGAACTGTCATCGCTATTTCATAAAGAGAAAATATTCTTTAATTTATATCCAGTATTTCCCAAGATTCTAGTTTGGGTTTTTTTAAACACAAAGTAAAATTTCTTATGAATCTAACATGCATTGTGTTTGCTCCAGGGACGTCGTCCTACTCTCAGCAGGGATATGGCTGGGAGTCTAAGCTCTACAGCCTGGAGCACGGCCATGAGCGGCCGACAGACAGGAAGAAGAAGAGCCTTGGTCTGGCGACCCTCAAACGGAGGTTCATCAAGAGAAGGAAGTCAAGCCGCTCAGCAGATCATGCGCGGCAGATGCGAGAGCTTCTGTCAGGGTGGGACGTCCGGGACTCAAACGCCCTGGTGGAGGAGTACGAGGGCACAGCAGCGCTCAAGGAGCTAAGTTTTCAGGCCAGCCTGGCACGTGCTGAGGCCCCCAACCTGCCGCGGAATCTGGCGGCCCTCTACCAGCATAAATACTGCACCGATGTGGATCTCATCTTCCAAGGTACTTGCTTCCCAGCGCACCGGGCCATCCTGGCTGCCCGCTGCCCCTTTTTTAAGACTCTGCTATCGTCATCTCCTGGCTATGGAGCAGAGGTTCTCATGGACATTGAGACCACTGGCATTGATGTGCCCATGTTCTCTGCCCTACTTCACTACTTGTACACTGGGGAGTTTGGGGTGGGAGGGGCGGAGGATACCAGGCTGCAGAACGTGGATGTGCTGGTGCAACTCAGTGAGGAGTTTGGGACTCCCAACTCCCTGGAGGCTGACATGAAGGGCCTGTTTGACTACATGTGTTACTACGACGCTCTGCTCAGCTTCTCCTCGGACTCTGAGATGATAGAGAGCTGTAACGAGCGAGGTGCCGTGGCCGCGGCACCAACAGTGGGCTCAGGATGCCCCGGGACCCCCGACGAGGACCTTAGGGCGCATAAAGCTATCCTCTCGGCCCGCTCTCCTTTCTTTAGGAACCTTCTGCAGAGGCGCATCCGCACAGGAGAGGAAATGACTGAGCGCACATTGCAGACTCCCACGCGCATAGTGCTGGATGAGTCCATCATACCGCGGAAATATGTGCAGGTCATTCTCCACTGCATGTACACGGATGCGGTGGAGCTTGGGCTCGTGCTGCGGGGCAGCCCGTCGGTGGGCAGCCTGGGAGAGGTTCAAGCCCTGGTGTCTGGGGGGCGTGGAGCCAGCACGCGCACAGAGGAGGCCATGGAGCTGTATCACATCGCTCTGTTCTTAGAATTCAGTATGCTGGCTCAAGGTAAGCCATATTTACAGCCATATATAGAACCTTGTAAGAATAAATGATGTAATGTCTTTTTATGCTTTGCATCTTTTACCTCTCTCATTGAAATATGAGCTAATTGTCTAGCTGTACTATTATGCTTGGTCTGCTTCACAATTTAGTTTAATTTAATTAATTCATAATGTGTCCACTGACTAAATGAGAAATTGAAGTTGTATTTTTCAGATCTGGCATATAACGTGTCTAACGCTAATGTATTATTATTCTACACAGTCCTTAAAACTACATCATGCATATGGTGGAATATGTGCAATATGGTTGTGCAGAGCAGGCTGGTGTTAAACAGCTTGTCTGACAGTGATGGGTGTTGGAGCTGCGGCTGCCAGTAACAGATTGATATAGGCTGAAGGGTTTGTCTGCGTCTCCAGGGGCAGACGGCTTACTGTCTGAAACATGCGCATCTGAGCCTCTGTCGTCTACTTCGTCACTGGTCTATCTTTTCTGAGGTGACAGTGTCGTTCTGACTCTAACCACTGCTTCACTTTCTGACCCCAGTAACATGTCGAAGATTAAAGTCATGGCTTGACATGAGCCAATCACTTTGTCATTCTCACCTCCTCCAGAGTCTCTTGTCTGAGTGCTGTCCAGTTCTTCGAACACATAAAGCTCCTTTTCGATCAGAATAACTAATGCAATATTAAATACTTTAAGCAGTCTATTTCCAATGCACACAACAAGTGCTGCATTTGGCTGCCTGTCATAACTGTGGATCCAGAGAGGCTGTGTGATGCTGTTATCATATTTTATACCCGTCTTATCTTTCATAGCACCAAGATGATGTAAATTAGTTTGTCAAATATTGAAAGGGTAATAAGAGAGGCATTAAACGGTTTAAGCATACAGTTTCACTGCCCCATGCTGTGTAATGAAATCAACAGTGTTATTTTCAATTGAAATCACCAAAAATATATTGAAAATGCACTCTATATACTTTGTTGTGACTCAAAACACTTTAGTGAAGCGATTTCTTTAAAAGAAAGTTTGATAGTATGCTATGCTAAAATGGATTTATAAAAGTTATTTTGAATCCAGTTCAAAAGTATTGTTTCCTCAGTAGGCAGATATTTCAGCTTTTCTGTGTAAATTCCTACTGCAATATTGATACAATTTTAATAAACCATGTCATCCTAATGGGTTTAGATGTTCAAGGTTCATTTCATTTCATTTCACACCTTTATTTATCCAGGTTGTATCCCATTGAGATCATTGATCTCTTTTTCAAGGGAGACCTGCTCAAGTAGGTTCCACATGAAACATTAAAAACATAAACAGAACAACAGAAGGACATCATACAGTAGCATTACAGGGATTACAATTTACATACTATCCACATGCACAGGTACCAACAGCTTCCGATTCAGTAGCATCCAACCGAGCTTTAAAGGTTAATTTGTTGTCATTGAAAAACAACACAAGATTACTCATCAAAATGAAGATGAAGACACTTTATGGTGGAGTGTGGAACAGCAGGTGGAGGGAAGGAGTCTCACAGCCTGAGATAAAGAGCTGCTCTGTGGTCAGGTGGTGTGGCATCAGATACTCCTGTATCGCTTGCCAGGCGTCAGCAGGGTGAACAGGCTGTTGCGGGGGGCGGGTATTGTCTTTAAATGTCCTTCGGGCTCTTCGCTGGCACCTCGCCTTACCAATATCACTCGTGCTTGGTAGAATGGTACCAATGATGCAGAGCCCACTGTTTAAGCTTTAAAATCACAGCAAGATTCATCCTCTCAAAAATAATTACCTTTTATGAAGAACAGTTCATAGTTCTGGGACAAAAGGCACTCGATACATAAAGATGCTTGCTTAAAATATTTTAGGGATAATTTTGTTGTGGGAAGCTGCTGATCTCCGTTTCAGTGTACACTTACACAGCTGGTTAGACACCACCTCCCGTCCTCCAGCTCTAGTGTCACTCTCAGGGTCACTCTGGCAGCTTAAGCCGACGAGCAGCCAAATAGTGTCATCACCATGCACCATCACCCCCTCTTCCTTCCCATCCCCCCCTCTCAACAAGCCCCTAACTGAGGGTATTTTTATCCCCTCTCCCTCAGTGCTGCTCCGCTCTAATCAGTTCCCATGAAACCTCCATGTTAAATGAGGAGAGATAGCTGAGGTTGACCTGGTGTCATTTTATCCTAGTGTTTCATCCAGTGTTTTTTCTTTTGCCTCCGTGCCGGGGACAGCCAAGTCCAGTGGTCTTAAGGGAGGGTGGGAAGTTCTTCAAATTTGGCCCAAACGTCCACTTTGACTCAAAGACGACATTTTGGGGATCAAAGGTCACTGTGACCTCACATCCATCATATTAAACACAATATCTCAGGAGCGCATTTAGGGACTAATCAAATTTGGCAGTAATGTCCACTTGGTAATGATAACCTGATTCATTTTTTTAGAGTCAGAGTTCAATATTACTGTGAATTCAAAAACACTTTTTTGGCCATAAATCAAAATTCCTTTACTTTACAAGAAATGTCTAATCTTGGACAGACATGAATGTAAAGGGCAATTTGACTGGTTGGCACAGACACTCAATGACAGAAACTGTATTTCACATTTAATTAAAAAATCCTAACAACTAGCATCTGTAAGTTAATTATGAGATTATAAGAAATGTGTCTGTTTCCATCCCACATCAGGAAACTTCAGGGGCTGCCATGTCACTTCATGAGGCAGCAGAGGACTTTTGTCAGGGGTTTAATACACACCGTCTCGCTCCTCGTGTGGTCTTCGACTGCTGCCGTCTGGCTGTGTGTAGTTCTGACTCATGGAGGTTTTTGTTGAGCTCCCCGTCAGTCTTCCAAACTAATTCTCAACATGTGCATCCCTTTATGACTCCCTCCCACTCAAATAGCAACCAATATTAAAAGCCTTATTAATTTTTCAAGGGCGCCGCAGAGATGATAGCAAATTGGTGTGGTTTCAGCTTGTGCACTGTGGTACTTCCGCTCACTCCATACACAATAACTGACCAGTGCTTTCAGTCCTTGGCCCTGAGTGATCATCATCAGACATGATTTACTTCCAGCAGCTTGTTTACAGGCCACAGAGTGCGGTTCATGATTTAAGTGGCTTTGGAGACGGTGCGCTCCATAAACAAAGAGCTCCAAATAATAACAGCAGGACAAAATGCATACGTCCTCCAAAGTTAGTGTAGTGTTAAGCTGGCTGTTGCTGCTCCTGCTGTTGTGTTGATATTCTTGTCAGTCGACTAAACTCCAATGAATGTGGTGTACCACCCGTGGAGAGAAGGGGAGGTGGGTTAGTATTAGATATAATGCTGATTCTAATCTCCTGCTCATATTAAAAGTGCTGCGTTTTAAAAGACAGGCTGTGAATTATAATGTGATAACACAGAGCAGAGCTGTTTGCTTTCCTGGGCCACTGGTCCCAAGTGGGGTATTTTGTGCCTTTGTGCATGTTTGTTTGTGTGTGTCTACTTCTCAGAGAGGGCAAAGGTGAAAGACTGACGTGAAGGAAAAAGCACTTTCTAGAAGACAGACAGCAAAGGCAGGAGTGCTGGAGATGGAGGCACAGATGTTTTGAATCCATTTCCTGTCTGTTTATAGCAGATAAAAAAGCCAAAGTGCCATGGTCCACATTTCAACTTCATCTGTCTACTTAACGATGCAGGGTTTCCACCCTTCGTTTTAACTCTGCAGGTGTCTGCTTTGCATTTCGCTAACTTGACATGACAACTGAAGATGCCTAAAAGGGGAAGTGTCATACGTTTGTGCGTCCATGCGCACATGTGGATGTGCAGTTCTTCTAGCATGTGTGCAAGTCTTAAAAGTGTGCGAGTTGTGCGTGGATGGATAAGAAGCGTTAGATTCGAAATCAGGAGCATCTTTGGAGCCTTCACTCTCAAGTCTGGTGTCCAGTTTCCCAGAGAGTGTGTTTGGGGGCGGAAAGGCAACTTAGATCCTCTACTTTAAGATAAGCGTTTCCCAGAGGAGCGTTGCTACTTACCTGATGGACAGGACAGACTGGAATGAGGAAGTTGGCGAGCTTGTGTTTCAGTTTAGATCGGCTCTAACTGGACGTCAGTCAGTCTGGCTTTATCTCCATGGAAGTCCATTTTATAAATGTTGTTGACCAGAGAATAAAAGCCACTAAAGCTCTGACGTGTTTGGCATAGAAAGCTTGACCTAGCCAATCATATGTTAATCCGAGTGGATGTTTGGGGGTTTAATTGTGCCTAAAAGAATCCCTGTTAGAATAAGTGTGAGTTTGAGTGCTGGCGCAGCAGGCTACATTTTCAAATCGTGTGTGTGTGTGTGTGTGTGTGTGTGTGTGTGTGTGTGTGTGTGTGTGTGTGTGTGTGTGTGTGTGTGTGTGTGTGTGTGTGTGTGTGTGTGTGTGTGTGTGTGTGTGTGTGTGTGTGTGTGTGTGTGTGTGTGTGTGTGTGTGTGTGTGTGTGTGTGTGTGTGTGTGTGTGTGTGTGTGTGTGTGTGTGTGTGTGTGTGTGTGTGTGTGTGTGTGTGTGTGTGTGTGTGTGTGTGTGTGTGTGTGTGTGTGTGTGTGTGTGTGTGTGTGTGTGTGTGTGTGTGTGTGTGTGTGTGTGTGTGTGTCATCAAGGTATCAAAGGCATTTATATGGGTTGGTGTGTTACAGAGTTAAACCACTGCCTGCTGTTCTGGTATGTGCCCTGATTTAGGAAACACAGCGAGGAGGATGTGGGGGCTAGTAGAGGGAGATCCCTGGGTCAGTGAATACGAGTCAAAACTACTAATGGTCTGGCAGTGGCTGCAGAAATACATTTTGTATTCTTTCTTTAAATCATTCATTATTAAACTTATTTTCCTTTGGCTTTTGTTAAGTATCATAGAGCTAGCTTTAATATATGTACTTGAAACATAAGACACGTGTTCCCATGAAGAGACTGGATTGAATATCAAGGTGTAAATTACTTATGCATCTCATTGTGTCTCCCAGGCTGTGAGGACATTGTTGTGGAGAGCCTTTCTCTGGACTCACTCGTCCCCATCCTGAAGTGGAGCTCCCAGCCGTATGGCTCCAAGTGGGTCCACAGGCAGGCCATGCATTTCCTCTGCGAGGAATTCAGTCAGGTCGTCACCTCAGATGTTCTCTACGAGCTTAGCAAAGAGCACCTCCTCTGCGGCATTCAGTCTGACTACCTGCAGGTAAGAAACGGAGCACGAGTTGTCAATCTGTTGTCACTCTCTCTGACATTTCTCAGCATGGAAGATACATTTTCTAGCATGAAGCGTCAGTAATGGGAGCCTGACATGTTGTCAGAATGACTGCTTAGTGAAAATACAGTGAACACATAGACATCAATGCATTAACAAACTCTGTGACACACACACACATACATACATACATACATACATACACACACACACACACACACACACACACACTGATGACACTCAGAGTCTCCAGAGTTGAGTACCATTCCCTTGAGGAAATGCCTTCAAACCAAGAACCTAATCAAAGCTGAGGTGTCATCTGCACTGCCAAGCTAGTCTGGCATCAGACCAGATGGTTGGGGTGAAGTGTTGACATGCAAATACACAAACAGACCAACCAGGCCGGAGCTATGCCGGGACACCGTCTGAACATATTGCATCTGCACCTTATCCTCACTTAACAGCTTTCTAGATTTGTTCCCGGAAATATCTAACCTTGTCCTAATAATGCTTTTGTGTCTTTCTTTCTCCCCGTCCTATATCTCTGTCTCTCTATGTCTCTCTCTTTCTCTCTCTCTCTTTACCCCTGGCTCATTCACAGGCGAGTGAACAGGACATTCTCAAGTATGTTGTTAAGTGGGGCGAGCAGCAGCTTATTAAGAGGATGGCAGACAGGGGTAAGATAATACACTCTATAATTACCCTCTGAGCAGACCCCTAATGGCTCTGAGGAAATTACCCACTTACCAAGAGCCTCCAAAAAATGTCTAAAAGCAATACTAAAATGAACCAAACTTTACCCTTCAAAAAGGAGTGGCCTCATTGTGTGTTCTGACCTCGTATGCAGTTGTCCTATGTCGGATTTATGGTCAAGGTTTTAAGTCATCATATTATATGGGCTAGTAACCTGCTTAGGAAGCTTAACCCCACAGTGGGCAATGAAATGCTAATCTGCAATTTGTTAAATTGAACTTGCCTGAACAATGTGAAAAAAGCCAGCAGGTTGACTTAAAAACATGAAAAGCCTTATCATGGATGCATAAATAGTCACGGTTATATGCATTATATAAAAAAAAAAACGCTAATGGCTGTTCCTGTCCTAATTTACCCAGAGCCCAACCTGTTGAGCGGCACAGCCCACAGTGTGAACAAGAGGGGAGTGAAAAGGAGAGACCTGGATGTGGAGGAGCTAAAAGAGATCCTGTCTCCGCTCCTGCCCTTCATCCGGACTGAGCACATCTTACCTCCCAACAGTGACGTCCTCTCTGACGCGGTCAGTACTCATTGTCTGCTTTCCTCAGCTGATGTGTGTGTACTGCTCTGCATCTGAGTCATTGTAACCTTCATAAACCGAGCATCCTATTCTTCCCCTCTGTCCACAGCTGAAAAGGGGTTTGATAAGCACCCCTCCTTCAGACATGCTGCCCACAGCTGAGGGGGGCAAAGCCAATGCCTGGTTACGGCAGAAGAGTGCTGGCATCTATGTGCGCCCCCGCCTCTTCTCTCCTTATGTGGAGGAGGCTAAGGTAAGGCTCATTCACTTCTAATTAATGGGGCCTTCAGACAGCGCAGGAAGCAGTGGAATATTTGGTGTCCCTTATAGCTATCATCAAAGAGAGCAGAGGTTCTGTGAAGAGGACAGACTAACCATTAGGTGTGTTGGGAAAATGTGTGGACCTATTCATAGCTCAGAAAGCGTTAAGATCAACCATGCCCAGCTGTTGCTATGCATACTCACCTTCTCAAAGAGCAGCCTCCATCATCTTGACTGAAATTAATTTGATGTCCATTTGCACATTTTCCTAATAACTTATAGGGCTTCCCAGGGTCATGAATATTTATGAACGTTTCCCAAGACCAGAGAGATTCATCATTAGATGAAGTGTCAATCAAGTGGAACTCATTTGCAAACCCTCTGTGTCCTTGAGCTGCACATAGGAGTTTGTATTTCGCAGAAGTTCTGGTCTAACTTGCCCTCTCTCGTCTGCCTGCCCCTCAGTCTGTGCTTGATGAAATGATGGTGGAGCAGACGGACCTGGTGCGTTTGCGCTTAGTGCGCATGTCCAACGTCCCAGACACACTCTACATGGTCAACAACGCCGTGCCTCAATGCTGTCACATGATCAACCACCAGCAGATGGCCAGCAACTCCAACACAGCTCCATCAGTTGTGGCCAATGAAATTCCAGGTAAGAGGATTGCCGGTGCTCATGTCAGCAAAAACCAAACTATTCATGTATCCTTAACATGTTGCTCGTATAAAAAAAGTGATCCATCCATCAATGAATGTGTTTTTTTGTGTGCGTCTTTCAGTGCCCCAGCTGTCTGTGGTGAAGGAGATGATCCGGAGGCTGCAGGAACTGAGGCACACAGAGCAGGTCCAGAGAGCTTATGCCCTCAACTGTGGTGAAGGAGCCACCGTCAGCTATGAGCTGCAGCTGCGAGTTCTGAGGGAGTTCGGTCTCGCAGACGGAGCCACTGAGCTACTGCAGGTCAGTGTGAAGCAGTTTGTCCCCGGGGGGGGGGGGGGAAGGGGATGATAGGACATGTCTAACAGGGGGGGAACAAAGACCTTGAAAAACCACAGGAAGATAAATCTTAAGAAAAATCTTGAAAAAGCTTTGTCAGCTCCAAATCGATACAGTTTTTACTTTTTTTATAACCTCTGTTGTCTTTTTGTGTTTTCAGAACCCGTACAAGTTCTTCCCTGATGAACGGTTTGGAGACGAGAGTCCAATTCTGGCTCTGCGCAAGGTGGGTCGGTGTCGGGTAAACAGCAGCCCAGCCATGGATAGCATGTTCACAGAGCTGGAAGGGGTAGTGGGCTTCCACCCTCCCCTACCTCCTCCACCTCCCCCATACCACCCCCCTGCCACACCCAGCCATGCTCAGCTCAAGGGTGCCTGGCGTCCCCGTGTGCCCATGCCCACCCCCACCCGTTCCTTTTCCTACCCCTGCAACCGCACCCTGATCCAGCGCCATGCGGCCGCTAAGCATGGCAGCTCAGAATACTCCTCTGTGCCCAGGCCGCAGCCCCCAGACTGCACCAACCCGCAGGCTATGGGCCGAGCTTTGCTTTCAGACCAGCAAGCGGTGAGTCGTGTGTTACTTCCTAGAGTCCTTGGGGTTATGGTTGTGTTTATTTAAATGCAGCTTTGTGGGTTGTGCCTGGGATCACAAGTTACTCAAATGTCAGGTAACGTAACACGTTTGTATGTGTTTTCTGATGCAGATGAACCTGGAGCCTGTTATGAGGGAGTTCATGCCTGACATTGCCCTGGGCGTCTCTGTAATGTCCCTGAGGGATCAGCACATGGCAGAGATGGACAGGGACGGCCCTCACAGCCCGATGGGCCCACCCGGACACCATCTGCCTCACGGACCCTGCCCCGCTGCCCGCCACAGCCACGGTCCGGGACATGGCCACTCCTGCAAGAGACACGCTCCGGAGCCCAAGCTGGAGGCTCAGGCCGAGTTCCCTGACCTGTATGATTTCTCCTGCCGACCTGCGACCCCGACCTCCGCTCACCCCCTGCCCTCCTTTGCAGGACCAGACCTTTACAGCCACAGCTGCACCCCCTCCAGCTCTTATCCACCTCCCTACATTTCTGACTCTCAGCCCCAGGCCCGCACGCAGGGACGGACTGCCCCAGACCCGCTGCGTCTGGATGTCCTCAGCATGACCTCTCAGAGGCATGATGGAGTCCTAGCCAGCCCTTCTGGGGCCCAGCCTAGGATGGGGCACATCCCAAGGGGGCGATCAAATGAGACAGACCTGACTCACGGCTTAGGCCATTTACGGTCTCCCAGTGGGAACATGGACAGCTATGAGGAGAGGCACACAGGACCACGGGATGCCCCGGAGGAGATGGTTCTATCTGGAGAATCATTGGGCTCCGGGTCCCTCCAGCAGCCTCACAGGAACAGTGTCAGCGAGGACCGCAGGTCACCCAGCAAGCCTGACTACCCTTATAAGAAGTCTGCACTTTAACCCCCGTAGGAGCAGGGGTTGAGTTAAGAAAAGGGAAAGCATGATGAGTGGCTGTCCATCACAATGGATGGCAAAGCACTAAATGTGTGCCTGCGTATATATGTATGTGTGTGTGTGTGTGTATGTGTATGTGTGTGTGTGTGTGTGTGTGTGAGAGATAAGAGCAGGGGAGAGGGGTGGTCGATGGTTGCTATTTATAGGATCTGTCCTTTTTGTCCTACCTCTATCACACTGTGCTATCCATCACACAGTCAGAGTATGGAATGAGTAAGAGCTGTAGGGTAATTGTCAATGCTTGTAATTGATTGCCTGGTCCTGCTGGTTTAGAGGATGACTCAGGCTCTACTAGTATGGATTGGTGACTTGAGTTTGATTGTAAAGAAAGAGGTTAGCTCTTTTTTTTGGTGAGTCCTGCATGAGGTGGTCACAAAACTAGAATATGTAGCTCAGTTATGAACTGATGGTTTAACAAAGATTATATTCATAGACCCTGTTGTCTCTCGATTTTTTTACAGCATTGAATGGGCAGATGTCAGGATAGGAATCTCAATTTACACAAGCTAGCAATGGTACACAGTCTGGGACAGGGAGTATTATGATAAAATCATATGTAAATACGTCTGGCTGTATTATTTTCCTCCTAATTCCATTTCTTCCTGTAGCATGCCTATAGCAACCCTCTTAACTAGTGTTCTCCTCCCGGCCTTGGTTTTGCAGTGCTGATGAGTAATGGGCCAAGGTTTGGTCACACAAAGCAGGAATTGGATCCGACAGGAAGTAGGTCATCATTCTCCAGTAACCCAGTCAGGCTTTACCTATCGCAGCCTTTGAGTGTCTGGCTTGGAGGCAAAGGCCTGGTGTTTTCAGAGGGGTGGGGGGGGCAGGTGGATCGCGAGCAGGTTTCATTACTGGGATACAGTGGAAATATAGGGGTGCCATGGCAACTGACGTACAGTGATCGACTAGAATAATGGGGGTTTGTTGTTTTTTCAGCTGAAACAGGTGTATGTTTGTGCGTGTGAGTCTGTGTGTGAGGATAACTTTGATACACACAGGTGTTTAGACAATCTCAGTACTGTACACTCCCATCTTTAGTCAGGTCTGTTTGTACGTATCAGAGTCAGATTAACCAGAAGCTGTGGCACAGAGTGCTGCGGTTAACGTGCTAGATTATCTTGTTCTGTTTAATCCAATAGCATAAAGTAAAGAAATCTAAAGCCTTAAGCAGTGCTTGGAATATCCAGTTTTCCTTTGTTCAATTAAGAATGATGTCATTATATCGCAACCCCGTTTAATTGCTTATTGGACTGTTCTGATCACAAAAGACACGTTAGCTACCCCTAACCCAAAATTTGAAACCATGCATCATTGCCTCCATGACGCCACCCTATGGCAGACTGTGGACCTGCACAGTCAGTGTTGATACTGTTAAATATGCTGTTAAGAGCTGCAGCAGCTGTAGCTAAAGAACCATGCAAATACACACATGAAAGCCTGTTGCAGCCAGCAGCTGGCATACAACCTCACATGAGTTCCATTGCACCTGTCCATTAGCTGAACGGAAAAAGAACAAATGAGTTTTGAACAAAAGGAATCGGAAGAAAAGTTGGCGATTGCTGGCTCACATCTCCAATGGAAATTGTATATAATGAATTGAGCTCCACACGTTCTGAGAAATGTTTAATGGTTTCTATCACATGTTAGTGGTTGTTGGAGTTTGTATTGTAGTGGACAACACTGTGTACTTGTCTTTGTCATGAACTCTCACTAAGAATGTGTGGTCTAAAACATAAAGATTGTCTCAGAATCTATTTTGTTCTTAAATGTTAAGATTAGGGCAGTCTGTACAATGTTGTAGATGGTGTGGATAACTATGTTTTGTAGAGATGTTTTTTTTTTCTTCCCTATGTTTCTTTACTTTCAAAGTAACAGGAATATGTAGAGGATCTGAAGATATTAGCTCTCTGCTCTGCAGTGATGAAGTTGCCAAGCAGAAAAATCATTTTTCCATCTAGATTGCTTCATGGGGAAAAAATGCAAAACTCTAGATTCCTCCCCATGTTCATGTTGGGCAGTTGTTTTATTTTCCAGGACAATGTTCCGTCGAATAAAAGTCCTTGTTTTGCTCTTTGCTGTAGAGAAGTCAGTGCCTTCCCCCGCCTGCGGCTGGGCTTTTATTGGAAAAGTGACTTTGATGTCTATGCAAGCTCTTTTCTACCAGCCTGCATCAAATAGTCCTTTCAAATCTCATGTAGCTCATTTTGTGTACATAGTGTTATTTAGCACCTTTTGAAATGGAACCATCTGAAATGTGTGATTGCTTGTGTTGAAATACAACAGGTACTTTGAACTTGTATCGTATCATAGAAAACATGTTTGTAGATTGATATTAAGTTGCATTTAGTTTCACTGAATCTATTTTTCTACTGTCACCTCAAAAGGTGCATAACAGTGGTCAACTTGGGCATCCTCAAAATAAACTGGTTTGATATTATGGAAAATATTTGATCGTTTTGTTCACTAGAAACGTGATATTTTTATTTGAAACAATAATCCACATAAAACAGCGATATTTGTTTACATCACTTTTACAAACATGTTTGTCGCCCCCAGAAAACACAATTTAAAACACATGGTATTAAAATGACAGACTGAACAGGAATACACATGACATTGCCATGTTCCTCTGATGGACTCGTAACAAATAAAATCTTTTTAAAGCATATCGGGCTGGAATAAAATGTATTTTGCTCATCAACGATTCAAGTAACATTCATTATGAACTTCAGAGTTAAGGCATTATTTTAAATCAATAAAAACAATTGAACATGAAACTCACTAGAAGTAACATTTCTTAACAGCATGTCAGTACTCTTTGCACTAGTTGTTCAAGCTTTAGGATCACATTGGTTGCAGCAAGAATCCCCTTTATTTAACAAGGAAAAAGGGTCATTTTCTAATTTCCACATTCATTCAAAGCACCATATGAAGCAGGCATATGATGGCAGCATGGCCTCCTTGTTACTGGTTCCCTGCATTGGTCCTTCGTTTCTTTTTAGCCCGCAGCTCCTCGAAGAACTGGTGAACAGCTTCGACTGTGACCGTCTGAGAGAGACAGTGTTTTTCAGGTCTGAGAATTAGAGTTTAAAAGCACACATAACACCCAGTATACCAACATGGCGTGTAAAATGAAACTAATACCTATTGCATGTGGGTCATAATTAAATACTGATGGATCCAGTACATCACAGGCCTTGCTATGTTAAATTATTATGCTCCAGACTATATTTGACATTCATTCCTCACCTTTCCTTCAGCAACACACTGTTCTAAAAACGCAGTCATCGAAGTTGTGAACTCGTTGAAACCTGAGGGGAGGACCACATGATTAATTAGTCTCGACCAATCGCCTCTGCCATAAATATCACTCTGCATGATTAATGTACATCCTCGGGAGGGAAAAATGACCCTATATCCTTTCCCTCCCCGCACTCACCGTAAATGACCTCCAGCTGCTGCACACGGTCCATCGAGTTAGTCAGCGCCATCAGCGGGTGCTGCCCAAATGGCTCGTCCATGCCTTTGTTCTCATAGGCCAGAATAGTGTCGGATTGATCCATGAGGAACTGCACCTCGGCAGCCACATAGAGCTTCTGTGCAACACAAGGAAGGAAAAACATGAATTAATCAATCTCCATAGACACTTTTGCATGATCACATGTAGGCCCAATCCCAAACCACGCCCTATACCCTACCCCTACACACTCCCCCTCCGTGATGGAGTGAACTCCGTGGAGTGACACATGAGGCTCCCTCCTGTCAGATGGAGGGAGTAAATACAGCGGCAAGCTTTGGGACAAACTCCCCTCTCTCCGGCAGAAACAGGAAATGCCGTAACGGTTTCAAATCAGCATCTCTTAGACAAAACATGTAAATTAATAACTCAAATAAAACTCCAAACATCTTTAATTGTTACTTTTTTGTAAAGCTCTTTTAGTTTTAAACCTGATGTTTATAAGCTTCTTAGTTTTTGCAACAGTCAAAATATTATATTTATTTACAATATACACAACTTTATAATAAAATGCACACATTTACCTTTTTCTAGACTAAACACAGGTATGAGTTAAAAGTTAAAAAAATATGAGGTTATCATGAGGTTGTTAACATTGCAATTTATCAGTGGAAGTTTGCTGGAACTACTTGTAAACAGCGTGTTTCCTGACGGACACACACAGCGTTGAGACCGGTCAGGTAGAGACCGGTCTCCAGTCAGCACCGCTGCAGACTCGCTGTTTGAGGGCTTGATAGCCCACTCCCCCTGCACACTCGTTGGTTTGGAACAGCACTTAATGTGGCGGACCCTCCGCGCGAACGCGCAAACGGAGGGGTAGTGTGTAGGGGGCGGTTTGGGATTGGGCCGTAGAGTCAACATCTGCAGAGGGGCTTGCTTGAGCCCCATGCAGAAGCCCACATTATGAACCAGTGTTTGCGGCCTACCTTGCAGCTCATGCAGGTGCAGAGCTGGGAGCGCCAGCTGTAGGGCCAGAACACGGCCCCCTGCCGCTGCCTCTCCGGACCCTCGGCCTGCAGCTCCTCCAGCCTGCACACAACGGTTTTGGTCGTGGCGTTTGCAGTGCTGCTTGTCATTTCCTCGTGGCTCCGCTTGCAAGGGGAACTCCTGTTTGCTGCTTCCTAGGATACATATAATAACAGAGAATGGAGTGAGTTACTTTTTTTTAAAACTGTCAGGAGAAATAAATGATAAAAGCTTGGGTTTTATAACATCTCCGCACACACAGCCCAGTTAGCTCTGGGGAAGTCTCAAGGCAACTGACACGATGAGATGATTGGGTGATGAAAATCACCAGTTTACAGTAAGCTGTCCTGTGAAGCCTGGCCAAAGCCGTCTACAGAGCAGGAGAAGCAGTGCCTCATGGGTCATTTCCCCCTTAATTACCCAGAGGAAGGGGAAAGCATGATAACTGGAGCCTGCTCTATAATCTGCTCATTACCCTCCAGCCCCATCTTGTGGCTACAAAACACCAGATGCCAAGGAGGAATGTGCAGAGAGCCCACAAATACTGAGCCTTTAGGGACCTTTTCTGAAAGAATCCCTGCATTATACATGGAAACTCCACATAAAAGTATGGAGCATTTTCTCAATGAGCAATACTTCATACATACTCCAACAATAACAAACAAACAATCGATACTAATCAAGAACTTCAAAATAAAAATGTAATTGAACCTATAACTATAGTAGTTGTTCCTGGCTATACACTTACAATGCTTACATGCAAAGAGTAATCAGATTAAGACAATAGTTTGATATAACTGGAGAACAGTTTGTTAATCCCATTGAGTGGTAATATAAATTGTGATGTAAAAGTAAAACCACAATCTTTAAACAATAGTCCCCTCAAAATATTTTACATCTCATCTTCAGGGAAATCTGACTCAGATCTTTCTTTTTACTTTGCTTCTTTTTTATTAAGCAACAAATAATTAAAGCTGGATAAATTGATTCTCAAGTGGGGTTGGTAAAAGTAGCATATCAAAGTTATTTTTTGGTCTGAGAAAAATAGACAGACTGATGCTACCCTCAACCTCATCATGCAGTCACCCGTCTCTGTTTGGTAAATCAATGATTTGACATAAGTGAATCTGTAACAGCTGAAGAGTGGGCCCGCATCTGTGTAATAAAAAATCTGAGACAGAGGAAATGGAGGGCTTGATTGTGTATCCATTAAAACAATGAATTCATCATGATACTATTCGATACAAACATTATATATTATCAAATTGAATTATCATCCACATTTAACATGACATGTTTAATGAACTTGTGGCGAGGGTATGTTTTCTTTATAATTTTCTGAATCTAAAATGAGCATAATTGAAGGACTGATAAACCAAAACCATAAATGGAAAGGTTACAACAGGAGATGTTAATGTATTTGTCTTTTTCAATCGTCCAAGTTGCAACTGCGACTGGGAAAGCTTATACATATATTTCAACATGGCACTTTATAATATGAAAGAAAAAAAAAATAACAAACATGTTAAATGTAAATAAATCCAGGTTTTGGATGTAACATTTAATTAATCCTTGAAACTGCTTTTTAAGTTGTCAGGTGACATGGACATAGGCATTAGCTAACATGGGAATTTTTACAATCTCTAAAAGCCTCTACGTAGAAATGAGTTTTAAAGCTGGGGAAGCACCAGTTTTTAGTTGGTGTTAGTTTGTATCCTGTTCACTTTATCTCAATTATATCTGTTTTCACTCTTAATAATGGAAAACCCCTTGATGCATACTGTACTTAGAAACAGAGGCAGAGGGTCTCATGAGCAAGGTTTCTCACCTCCTGCTTTGTGTGCTCGACACTGGTGGACGGTTCCTCATCTCTGCTTGGACTGGACTCTTCCTTTTCTGCTCCTTCCTCTACATCGACTTCTACCTCCTCTTCAGGCTGACTGACACTGATCACAGGTGGTGCTAAAGGGCAAACACCAATGGAAAAATGACTCTCTGTACATTTGTGTTAAATGTTAGACATGTGGGTTTGTATTTGCTGTAAGAAGAAGCTCAGGATAATAAGTTACCTGCAAAGTGAGCAGCATACGTCCACAGGAGGGGAAACCTGTTCATGCAGGTCTCACATATCATCTCTTGCAGCTCATCAGGTTCCACTGTGGTGCAGCCCAGGTGCTGTCAAGGACAAACCAAATGACTACACAATGAGCGGTAGTCTTATAGCAGTGACATTAATGTACATTTAATTAGAAAGATGCTCAGAAATGTTGTTTTAATAACACGACTCATGCTCACCATGCTATGAAGCCAATCCTCACAGATGATACACTGAATCATCTCATCGTTGGACTATTGGGTAAATAAAAAAGGTGTTTTGTGTAACAGACAAATAAACACTACATTTAATCCAATAATCTGACTTGCATTATCTCAGAGATGAAAAATAAAAAGGATTACCTGATCGTCTGCGTCTGGGTACGGCCGGTCGCACGTGCAGTAGCAGCCGTTGAAGTTGTGATTGTATTGATTTCTGTCGTTTTGCTCATCTTTGGCCTGTGAATACAAGAGATAGAACAACTTCAACACATCAGAACAGAAATGGCGGTGATTCAGTTAGAAAATCTTAAGAAAATCAGAGGACTCACAAGAATTAGCTGGCACTTGAACTCCCCGAACTTGCCATTTCCACAGTCACAGCGGAAATTTCTTAACAGAAAAATAGTAACATTTTTGTAAGGACAAAGCAAGCTGTAGGAATTATTTTTTATAAGCAGTTTAGAAACACACACAGACAAATTACCTTTTGGTGTATAGTTCAAAGATATCATGTCCTTCGTGGCATTTATTGGCACAGGCCAGACACACTCCAGCAGGCTCTGCAGCATTGGGAGTGCAGGTGCTGCAGGCAAACACAGCCTGTCTCTTTACATAGCCCTGAAACAATCAATCAATCAAAAACGTTATTAATCCTGCAAGGGGCAATTGGTTATGAACAGCTGCATTGCGTTAAATGCTGAAGAAAAGTCCGCAAACAAAAGCCTAGCATGAGCTTGTGTCTTTTAAAAGGTGTTTGTGGAGGTTGTGCAGTATAAAAAGCTTTGCATCCTCTTCGCCTCACCCTGCCCGATACGCAAATTGTAGTGGATAAAATTCACCACCTACTAATAATGACATGACAAGGCCTTTAGCAATGTTCTCAAAAATAGCACAAAGAGAAATAAAAATACAGCAATCCACATATTATTGATCCCATATCCCATGTCATTTAGCACTTAAGTAGTTATTCTAAATACTCTGATTAGTAATACTGCAAAGATACAAAGGGTGTTTTATTAATTAATAGTGTTTCTATTGAGTGCCCCTTGGAAACAACAAGCCTTACGATAAATAAGTATAACGTGAAAAAACACGACTGTTTAATTGTCAGCTACATGGTACACCCTGTACTGCATCTTAAACTGCAGTGCTTGTTTTGCAAAAAGCGACGAGGCGACAGTAGGCGGATAAAGGCGACGGCTGCAGGGAGCTTTTCTTACCCGAGAATAGGAGCAGTTTTCTGGGTCGCTTCCAGCCAGCACAGCCAGGGCCTGCTCGAGCTCCTCCTCGCTGGCAAGACTATCGTCAATGTCTGGTTCTTCTTGATTTGCAGCCATGCTGGTAAAACTGGGCGAAGAGGACAAAGACACAGACCGGTCTGACCTGCAGCAGTGTTGACAAATGACTGTTCCGGGCGGGAGTTTGAGCCCACACCACGTGGAGGAAGTTACGCAGGATACCGATCAACAATCAACAACAGCGCGAGGGCCCCAGATTCCGGTGTCTTTTTCATATAATCTCTAGAATGCTTTACTTTTTAGTATTGTATGTTTGTTTTCATATTAATTTGATCGACATGTGTGTTCACGCTGTTCAAAAGAGAAACACAATGAATATGACAATCTGTAGTGTTAAACAGGACCTAAACATTTATTGTAACATAGTAGGCTATAGGCTACTTTCAAACTAAAATCAAGATGAGTGTTAGAATGTCATTGTATGTATTGCACTTTATGAATAAAACACTGCATATGATACATTTAACCTAAATAAAAGAAAAATAACAAAAGGGTTTCTACAATCTTCTAGGCCATTTAGTAAGGTAAAAAGCAAAAACGCCTCTCAGACGCTCTTCCCTTTACTTATTTAATAAAGAAAAACAAATGGACGGTAGATACACGGATTCAAATCATTATGTCTAATGTTCGAATTTTGTAATGTGTTTTTTCTTTCTTTATTGAATGTATGAAATGCAGGCTGCATTGATGCATTTGCTTTAAGTAAACTGTAAATAAGATATCATGTCTGTCTGTCATAACAACTGACAGTCCTTCTGTTAACATGCAGAAAACAGTTGTTGTTGACTGCAGGTTATACAATAAGATATTTTGGGAGAATTACAGTAAATATTCACAATAAGAGAAAATCCATTCATGTTTTTGAGGAAAATAACTTGACTCACACACATCATCACGGAAAATAAAATTACAATTAAAAAGGTGAAGTTTCAGTTTGTAGTATACCTGTCCTGGTGGAAGAAAGAGGTATGGAGAGGGATAGGATATGGTGTGTTTGTGTGTACTCCTCCTTTGTAATATTTTTGTTTCGTTTTACTTCCAGGAAGCTTTCGTAATTTTTGTATTCGGAAATGTAAATATCCTATTAATTTATTATTTCCTTTTGACAAACAGACCTAAGGAGTGTATCATTATCTGAATGTACAAAGACCTTACTCAGTTATAATGTCAAGAAAAAGTGATGTGTAACACTAGTAGGCTACAGGTCAAATGAAAATATATCATTTAAAACAGATAGTAACTGAATAACTAATTTATATTCAGCCAGTGCACGTAGGCTATATTTGTACATATTCGTATATACGAATATGTACAAATATAGCCTACTTATAATAACATAAAGTTATTTTTTATTTTGTTAAGTCATGGTCGTTGTTGCTGTCTGTTTTGTTTGTCAGAAAGAAAGAAGGAATACTTCTGCATTTTGCAGTGGTTTTCCAATGGGTGGCGCCACAGTAACATGTTTCTCTGTTGAGATGATAAGCGATCGTTTGTTAAATGTTGGGGCTGCTGGCATTATGCAAGCTGCGACGGGCCCACACATACAAGACAGGTTATTCATGTAGGCAGACTGCAGTTGGTTTGAGTAAAAGTCACAAACCTGTTCTCTAATCTACATTTTTCTTTTAGACTTTCGAAAACGTGCATGTGGTTGATGTTGTCAGACCGTGAAGTGGCTCTCTCAGGGAACACACAGAACTTCTCTGACCGCATCCAGGATGCCTTTACTGGCTGTCGGAAATATTGTGGAGCCAACAGCTCAAAGAGATTGTAGTTTACTGCAACTAAATGTGCAGGGACAGGCCTCATCATCTTTAGACTGAGAAAAACAACCCTACTGTACAATTAATGTGTGGTCCCCTATAAACAGTATATTCCACTCACCAATGATACAAAAATAAAACAATTTGTTAAAACCCCATATAAAGATTTATATGAACGTGAATCACACTCATTAGGGTCTCTTATCCTCTTTGTTCACTGTTTAACAGAACATTACTTTTAAAGAGTAGAATATTTAGGTCAATTAGTCAACATGCAAAACCAAAAATACAATTATGTGTTTATGTTAACCAAAAATGAAATCCATGAGACGTTGCTAATGGGATCATATCACTGGAACATGTATATATTTGGGTTCAGGATTTAGTTTAGTTTAGATGGGAATCGTTTACTCAAGGTGTAAAGTAACAAAGTACATTTACTCAAGTGTACTTAAGTAACATTTTGAGAGACTTGTACTTTACTGAGTATTTCAATGTTTTGCTACTTTGTACTTCTACCCCTCTAAAAGTCAGTACATATATTTAATATCTTTATTACATTTGCTATCAGGACTCGGATTAATAATGTGAAATGTAAACAACAGTTGAATAAGATTTTAGTTACACCTGGAGTAACATTCACAAGATACCCTGCACTATAAAATTAAAACTAGCTGCACCTTTACCTGCTTTGATAAACACCTGAATGCATCACTAATTATGATTAAAAACATATCATATGTTATTCTGAAATGGGTCAATTTGCATAATGAGTGCTTTTACTTTTGGTTCTTTAAGTATATTTTGATGCCAATACTTTTGTACTTTTATTTGAGTAACATTTGAATGCAGGACTTTTACTTGAACAGAGCATTCCTACACGTACTTCTACTTTTGATTAAGTACACGATCTGAGTACTTCTTCCCCTCTGAATGCAAATTAATCGATAATGAAAGCACAACATCACGTGAAATCAGGACAGGCTGTGATTCGAACGTCGGGAGTGGTATTTTCCGAGGGGCTCGTGAACGCAGCATCAGTCTCCTGGATCCTGGGTGTGAGCAGGCAGCAGTTCAATCCAGAGACTGAGGCAGAAAGCACCAGGAACATCTCAACGTGAGTGCAGCTCAGCCTGTCATCTGTCACCTTGTTTGAAACTTCTCCTTCTCCACCGGACGGACAGAGAATGGGAAACTATCCCAGCTAGTTTCTGAAGAGGATACACATTCAGGGGGAGCTGTGCTAAAACTGTCAGGTTAGTTAACGCTAGCTCCCCACAGCCCCTCTTGACGTAGTTACCGTTCAGTCAGTGGCTTCATCTGTTAGCCAGGTAGCCTTTGCTTTCCACCATTGGCTAATTAATTTAGTATGAGAAAGTGGTGTAAATCTGTTCAGCAATGTAACCATGGTCAGTCTTGTTAGCAAGCTAGCTTATGTTTCTTAGTTACCATCGGTTAGCGGTGCAGACTGTCACTGCCCAGCTTGCTAGCTAACATTAGCAGTTAGCAGAAATGGTCTGTGTGTGTTTCGCTGATGCTGAACTACACTCACTGTGGTGTTACCTTTAGAAACCAAATGATGTGAACCATGAGGGCGCTAGGCTCCACGAGGCACTAGTAGAAAGATAGAAAGCGCCACTTCTGGCTGTGTTTGAGTAACGCAAACCGAGTGGTGGACTTCAGTGTACCTTCATTGCTTGTTGCTGCTAGGTTAACGTCATAGTGTGGCTTCCTGTTGTTTCGCCTGTACAGGTTGAGCCTCCAGTCACACCATTTACCTCCAGAGCAGGAACCGGAGCACAGTGGAGATGCAGACCTTCCTGAAAGGCCGGAGAGTCGGCTACTGGCTCAGCGAGAAGAAGATGAAGAAGCTGAATTTCCAGGCCTTTGCCGATTTGTGCAGGTATGTGTGGATACAAAGCATTTAATGTTTTAATAATCATCAACAGTGTATTCAATTGTTTATTAAGAGGTGTGCTGACATACACTGCACTTCCTCTTAGAGACTCCATGGCAAAAAGGGACATAGTATTATCTCTTCCTCTCTAAACCCTTTTCATTTGCACTTTCTAATTCATACTCCCCTCTGGAACGCTCTCTCTGCGGAGATCCGCAACATCCCCACGCTTGACGCCTTCAAAAGGGCCCTCAAGACCCATCTGTTTACTAAGGCCTTTGGCCCCTAATCTATTTGTTGTTTTGTCTGTCTGACTGGTTGTCTGACTGCCTTTTTGTTTTTGTTATATTTGTTTTGCCCTGTTGTTCTCTGTAAAGCGACCTTGGGTCTCATGAAAGGCGCTATATAAATCCAAGCTATTATTATTATTATTATACTTGCACACAACAACCCTGATCATGTCTGTTTTTAAGAATTTGACGTTTTGCCAAAACTATAAGGCCTGTGGCTGCTGTGCTACTTTTGTAATGCTTGCCCCGAGGGAAGGTGGCTATAGCAAAAGTCAATTAGTGTTGTAGAGCTTGTTTGCCATGATTTAAGTCAGTGCCTGTTGAGACAAAAGGTTCAGGGAAAGTGTATAAGTAAAAGTGTTGACAGTGGCCTAAGGTGCATGTGTAATAGGATAAACACCCACAACTGGTGTTATTATGTTGCTAATTCTCCTGAAGCATAAAACGGTATGCTATGTGTTTGGAAAGAAGAACAATATTTCTGCTGACGTGTTGATTTGATATCTAAACCAGAATATGTGCTCCCATCCCACAGAGTTAACCTTTGCTCAATATTGGAGCAGAACGGTCATGGCCTTGTGTCTCTAGTTGTTAGATGTTTAATTGTCTACGAAAAAAACACTTATCTGTTGAGATGCATAGTCATAACATGAATTTGTTCAAGGTTGTACGTCCACTGTAGCTTTGATTTTTTTGCCCAGCGTTGAGAGGGGCAGCTATATGAGATGGTTATGTATGTATGGATGAATGTTATCTTTGTTGTAGCTTATACTTCTCAAGGCCAAGTAAAATCTTATATTAGGTATTTTAGAGTAGGGTATTTCCTCAGGATGAGTGAACTCTCCCTCACTGATTTACAATAGCTACTATAAGTATAATGGACTGGGGATTGGCTCCAAGGTATGGCAGCAGACTTTTTATTACTTATTGCAACATTGCCTAGCTGCCTGTACTGTATGTGGGCCGCAGTGTACTGGAAAACACAAACAATCAAGAGACCAACAGTGTGGGGAAAATGGAGATAAAAGTATGAATCGACAGTCTTTCTGGTGTGTTCTGGTAGGCCAGGTGTGTTGTCACTGAGCGTGCATTATAGCAGGCATTTGCTTCCTTATTTTTTTCTGGAGGGTTGTTGCCTCACAAAGCATCCTGGTTGAGCCAACCTAAATTACCACAGTGTAATCCACAAAACATTTTTTATCTATTCTTGAGTCTCTAAGTAACCACCCTGTCCCTGCATCCTACCTATCCCCATTCTTCCATAACAACTGGAGAGGGTTGTTTAATCTGAAGGGAGGGGGCCAAGTGTTAGAAAGTGTCATTAGTGACTAGAGATTACAAATAACTATTCAAATTAATGGCCTTTATGC